GCCGCGACGCACCATCTGGTGGAAGTCAATACGAGCTGCGTCGTATGCCTCCACCATGCGTGCCAGATGCACGACGGTGGCGTCATCCTCCGAGCTGGCGTCTCGGAAGGTGGCGAAGTCGCGGGCTCCTCCGCGACGAGGGTGGTAGCGGTAGGGCGAGTGCTGCAACTCGTCCGGGTAGCGCTGGTGCAGGGTGCCGATGGCGAGGAGAGCGGCGTTCTGGCAAGCGGCGGGGAAGGAATCTCCGCCCGCGGTGACTGCCAGCGAAGTCCGCTCGGGAGAGCCGGAGAGGATCACTGCAGTGACCTCCCAACCAGCGTGAGGCTCTGCATCCTCACCCTCCTGCTCCGGGAGCGGCCTGGCCTGGTAATCCACTCCATGTGGATACCCCAAGACCACGCACATGCCTCGCAGCTCCAAGACGAAGCCAGTCATGTCCAAACCACGACGGGTAACGCTGCCGGCCATCTACAAACAAAAACAAAAGAAAAGCAACATTTTAAAGGACAGATTTTGACGATAAATGAAGCAGCAAGACAAAGAGAGAATAGCGGGTTTTCACAAATAATAAAGGATTTTTTTTTTTTTGAAAATATAGCTAAGGCTTGGGATCTACGGCTCGTCCTAGGGTCAAGGAAGGCTCTGATACCAACTTGTCACGACCGGAAATAACCCAACGGGCTTTCCTGACGTGCGTGCATTAATCCTTGTCCCAGGAGGCAAGGTACACCAAAAGTTGATACAATTCAGAGTTTAACAAGCGGAAGCGTATATAAAATTATTACATGGGCAACGAAGGCCCAGCACACTCAAAGACAACGAAAAACAGCGGAAGACTAGGGCGACGGCCACAGGCGCTTGACGGCAGGCACGAGCTAGACACCAAAGCCTTCATCTTCCAGGAACTCCTCATCTGGGCTTGGGAAAATTAAGCAAGACTGAGTACAACCACCATACTCAACAAGACACACCCACAAATGCAGAATAAATGCAAGGGAGTACAAGGAAAGTATAATATAGAGGGTTAGGGTTGCAGTAAACAGCATTTAAAGACATTTAGTTGCTCAAGGCCATTTTGTAAACACGATCCTAGAACTATCCAATATTATTAATCAAGGCCGTGAACCCACACGAACCTGCCTTAACCCAAGGCCTACGATGATTCGGACCGAACTGGCAACCCGACCCTGGGTCCCAGCTCGTCCCAAGCCAACCCAGGCCAACCATTCCACATTTTAGTTGTTGAGCAAATTTTAAGAATTAGAACACTGACTTGGGTACATTGCTCGGCTTGCCCATATCCGAGGGCTCGGCTATTCGAATAGATTATACTCTGATCAGAGGTGTACATCTTTACCCACAAGACACATCTTCCTCACGTGTAACCACGTGCCACATACCACCACGGTATACGGACGGAAGACGTGACATAGTTTCCAACCCATCCTAGCCTTAGACAAGAGTACCGACCCAATCCCGCCTACGGCCGGAACCCCCGGGACAGGCAGACGGAACTGAGCCCCTCGCAGCAGGGCACCAACCCTGTGCTTTTTGACATCTCGACTACCGGGCCGCAGCTCGTGTAGCCTTCATTTGCCCTGGAGAATGTCCATCGACCCCCGACTTCATCCATCTCCAATCCGTGTACTTTTGTTTATGACTAGACTGAGCCACAAACTAAGCCTTACCCACTAGACATGTGGAAGTACGGTAGTGCTTTGCAACAGAGGCCCGAGCTTAATCCTTATAGTGGCCGGGGTGCTACTTCCCACAACTGGCATGCACCCAAACCCCACCGAAAACAGGTTTTAGGGGTTTTGAAAGAGGAAGAGAGGTGTATGACCAATTCCACCATAAACCAACAATTCCATAGTATCCAGGTGAAATGAATATTTCCCCAAAGTCTATAGTTGTAAAACCACCTAAGGTTACCTAATTAGATTGCGAAGCATCTACCTAAAATTACACTAGGGATACCATGAGTAGAGTGTCCACTAGTTGGGGTTTTGTTTACCTAGGGTGAACAAGGTAATAATAATAACAATAACAATAATAATATGGTCATAACAAAGGTAAATAGGCATGGCTAAGTAAAACAGTGATGACGCGGGAATTTAAATAAAGCGATAATGCAATAATTTAAATCAACATAATTTTATAAAATGGGATTCAATATGATCAAGATGATGTGTCTTGCCTTGCTCGTTTTCCCAATCGACGGCTTCGACTTCCACGAAGAGCGGATCTTCCGAAGCTGCAGCGTCTACACGACCAACGGAAAAGAAAAAGGCTTTAACACTAAATAACTCCACATAACAGCAGAAACAAAGCACAAAAATGGGTTCTTTACATCTTAAGGAAAAATTAGAGACTTGAACGGTCCAATTCCGAGTTCAAATGGCCAAGATATGGCCATTTGAAGTTTATATGCTCTTTAAATGGATATTTGCGAATTTCTTCATTTAATTTTCAATTAAAAATCCTATTTATTGCGTCAGCCGAGGGAGCGGGCGCGCGGACCGGGTCCACGGGAAGTGGGGCCCACGCGTCAGCCGCTCGGTCCACGGTGGACCGGGCGCACGCGGCTGGCGGCGGTCGGCGCCGTGGGTCCCGCGCGTCAGCCGCACCCGCGGGCGCGGGCGGCTGACGGCCGGGCCCACTTGGCAGCCGCGAGGGCGCGCCCGAGGGCGGCCTCGCCGGCACGGCCGACGGGAGGAGGACGCGCACCCGCGCCCCGATGGTCGCCGCCGGCGACCAACGGCGCGGCGGAGCGGCACCCGAGAGAGAGGAGGGAAGGGGGAAACGAACGGAGCGGTCTTCGGCTCACCCCGAGATGGCGAAGGCGGTGGAAACGGCGGACGGAGCGGAGGAAGACGGCGGCGCGGCTCGGGATGACGATGACGACGATGCTCCGGCGGTCGGCGGGCGAAGCGGAGCGGCGGACGGGGTCGGCGACAACACGGCGGAGCGGACGGAGGGGTCGCCGAGTAAGGAGGAAGTCCGGAGCGGCGGCGGCGGCGGAACGGAGCTCGGCGGCGACGGCGGAGAGAGAGGAGCACGGCGCGGGCACGAAATCGACGGCGAGAGCGAGCGGCGAGCGGCGGAAACGGAAGAGCGGAGCTCGGGGAGCAATTATATAGCACCGAGAGGGGGAGAACGCGGCCGGAGAGGAAGGAAACGGGCGCGGGGATCTCGGGCTCCATAGATGTCGCCGGCGAGGATTACGGGATGAATCCGGACGGATCCGAGGGAGAGAGAGAGGGGAAATCGGGGGAAACGGGAGAGGGGATCGCGGGGAGTGATTCCCCCCTCATTAAGGCGCGCGGGGAAGGCGGGATGCGGCGGAATCCGCGGCGGCGGCGGCGCTAGGGCACGGGCGCGGCGGCGGACGCGGCGGGAGGAAGGCGATGACAGGTGGGCCCCACCTGTCAGCGAGAGCAGCGGGCGGGCCCGCCTGTCAGCGGCGCGCGCGCGCGCGGGGAGCCGATGGGCCGCGGGGGAAGAGAGAGAGAGAGGGAGGGACTGGGCCGAGCCGGCCCAAGAAGGAAGGGGGGGGGGGAAAGAGGACTTCTTTTAGGGTTTTCTTTTTATAAAACCTTTTTAACTTTGTTTATTTCTTTTCAATTATTATTTGTGCTCTGAAAATTCCACTAAAATTTATTTAAGCATTTTAGGCTTTTAGGAAATATACAAAAATCCTCCAAGCCTCATTTGACTTTTATCTTTGCACATTTTAATTGTTGGAGGCTTTCACATGAATTTTAATTATTCTTTGCACAATTTCGAGGATAGATTTTAGAGTCGATTTGGGACGCGACAGGAGTTGGGCTCGCCTCAACGGGGAGTAGGAAACCGGCGAGTTTCCGAACCTCAGTGAAAAATCTCTTGTTTCTTTGTCTCATTTGATTGTCGCATTTACATTTGTGCAATTTACATTTCTAGAGACATACTTGAGATCATATCACCCTAGGATTGCTAAACATTGACATAGGAGTGTGATTTACTTTCCTAGAGATATAATTGAGCCTCTTTCACCCTAGGTTTGCAAAACATAACTTAGTTGCTTAGTTAGAGTTGATCCTCACCGAGCCTAGCAACTTAGGTTAGTTTTGATTAGGTGTCATTTAGTTTTAAATCGCCTATTCACCCCCCCTTAGTCGACATCTCGATCCTACACGCTCCCCTTCGCCAGATCTGTCCCCGACATCTTCACATGTGAGTCCTCCACCACCGCCATCCCGGCAATGTTCAAGGGGAAGGAGGAGGCGAACCAAGGGCCCTGTCGCTGCCGCATCATCCTCAACGCCACTACGGTTTAAGTGTTGATAGATGATCGGATCTGGGGTTGGTGTGTTTTTTTTATCTCGCTCATATTCTCTTGTTTAATTTCTCTCATGTTCTCTTGTTCTTATGTATACCGAGAACATTGGGATTTAGATCTGATGAACATTATAATTAAATGGATTTAGGAATTGTTGTTGTTATTGACGTGTTTTTTGGATTTTGATTTTGGATGTGGGGATATTGTTCTGGATCTGAGGCTGTGGAGGGGTTCTGGGTTCGGCATTATAATTAAATGGATGTATAAATTGTTGTTGTTATTGATGTGTTTTTTGAATTTTGATTTTGGCTGTGGGGATATTATTATGGATCTGAGGATGTGGAGGGGTTCTGGGTTCGGCTCGATTCGAACCGGAGTTTATTTTTTTGGCTCATGAAGACATAAAGGTGCCGGTATCATATATTGGTACCGGCCGGAAAACCGGCACCTATTGCCCGTTCCAACCGGCATCAATAGGATTTTTTTTACTAGTGACAGGATCCTAAACTGTTAAGCTACTCTCATTTTGCAGTGTTGGCATTTTCATCTAAGCAGAAGAAACCATGTCTTCATATGAATACAGATGAATAATTCCGGTGTAGAAAGTATACAGCCCATAAATATCGCCATCAGAAAAAGAAACCTTTCAACAACCATGATTGACAAACTACCTCAGTGGTGGCATCCGCATAATTAAACATAATTTATTAACTCAACACCCATACGATCAGTTACATTAATTGGTGGGCAAAACATTCAATCGCGCTTGCCACAACCAACGCGTTTGACAAAACGACTGGTAACAGAGAAAAACAAGTTAATGCCACGCAACACACAACCTAGCAGAACATGCACAAACGGCCGGGATGGCTAGTAATTAATTAATTATGTCCATGAACAGCATGTGTATAATTTATCAACTAAACCTGTACGTACGTTGCAGTACTTCAGAACTGCACCCAAGAGGTAGAGTAGGTGGCACCGAAGAACCAGTTGGACGGGGCGACGTTCCAGGCCGTGACCTTTCGGCCGTCGTCGAGCTGCACAATGAAGGACAGGCTCTGCCCGGCGAGGTACGCGTTGCTCTGCCAATTGGCGCCCCAATTCCTGCTCATCGCCATCCAGCCCGTGTTGGACCCCTTGATCGACATCTGCGCCACCACGCCGCTGCCGCCCACGTTCGTCACGGTCACAAGCTCAAAGTAGTCGTGACCGCTGATCGCGAACCGGATCCCCCCGCTCCTCTGGCACGGAACCCTGCATTGGACACAAGCAGCATTTGTGAGGTTTTTTGAGAAACCTTACTACTAGCTGTGTGCACCTATGTCAGATTATAGGTGCCGTTTCTAGTCTAGCACCGGTAATTATGAGAGCAAGTTTAATAGTATAGTAAATTACTAGCTCCAAATCATCGTCAGTATCTATGTACGTGCTGCAGCTGGCTAAGTAGTCCGCTTCTCTTATCTCTCCTCTCTTATCTACTCTACATAAGTTTGTAGCCGATTTATAGTCTATTACAGTACCTGCTTTGAGTCTGTTAGCCCATCTCTGGTAGTCTGGTAGGTACTGGTTTTACACTAGTATCGATACATATAAGCCGTTTCAAAACTAGAACTAGTGATCGATAGCATTGGTACTGAAAAATTGGTGCTAGCATGAAACAAGCATGAACCTATAATCCTTCTAGACCCGTTATCGATGTGCCTTCATGAGCTAGCTAGTGAGTGTGTATATCAATTCGAGTAAAAAAAAACACTTCAAACATATATATATCTCCGATTGATCTTTGATCTATAACGATTTCGGCTATTATTCAACTAGGAGTAGGATGCATGTACCTCTTGTAGTTGACGGGGACAATGCCGGCTTGATAGACGGCGATGTTCTCCCAGGCCGGCTGTGACATGTCGAAGTGCTGCCGCGGTGGGTTGCACCACCCGCCGCTGTTGCTGGGCAGCGCCCAGTTAGGCGGGCATAAGTTGGTGGCCGTGATGGTGATGGAGTTGCCGCCGGGCTTGCACCACTTGGTCTGGCTGGTGTCGCAGGTGATGGTGTAGCACGCGCCGCACATGGCGCCGTCGTTGAACAGCGCCGAGCTCAGCGCCGCGTTGTACAGCCCGTACCCGGCGTTGTACAGGTTACCGTACCCACACGCGCCACCTGCATCGCGTCGCACGTACATCCAAGTTCAGAAATGGCATCATCATCATCAGCTAATTTGTTTGAGAAAATATCAAATTAAGCTTGAAATGTACGTACCCATGGTGCCCGACCCGTCCTTGCCACCGTAGAACGTGGCAAAGGCAGACTGTGCGACGGATCGCTTGCATGCGAAGGCGCAGAGTGTCACAAGAACGAGAAGCATTGCAGGTTGTTTCTCCATTCCAGAGAGCATGCAAAAATTAATCTAGACAGGTTGATTGGTTTGCAAGGCTGGTGATTCTTTAGGTTTTCGTTTTGTGTTGTGCCGACGCATCACAGCGTCCCTATTTATAGGGTACTCTTGGCGTAGAATAATTTGGCTACCGGGCGGTTGCTGCTTAAACCACATCCCGAACTCTTCATCATATCTGCTTTGAAGATTTTTTTTCTCTCTCATTATAATCGAGTTCGCGTGGAATTGGTCTCAGCTGATAATAATGGAAACAAGCATACATATTTGATGGCATTCGTTCTTGCTGACTTCACACACAGCGTACACGGATTTCCCTAATGATTGAAACATGGTGGAATCAGCACTGCATATCATTTGTTCTCTTGATCAACAAGCCTGGCCATGTGCAGTTTTTCCATTAAGAAGTCCCAAAAGGATAACTGATTGATGTGCTTATTTCTGGATGGATGACTTTCTACTTGGTTGCCAAGAATGTCTTAGTAATTAATGACATGTCGTCTTAGGATCTAATTTTTCTAGCACCAATATTCTTCTGTGTTGTGTGCCTAATTGTGCGGTTGACAATATGTCAGTTTGAACACAGCGGGCATGCAAAATTTGCAAGCTTGTACAGGGCAATAAAACCTTCTTCCGAGATGATTTAGGTTGCGTTCGGCATTCCCCTTTCCCATCTCCTACTCTCTCATTTTCTATACAAATTTTCTATAGCTTTTTAAAAAACTATAGAAAATTTGTTTTAAAAAAACTATATTGATTTATTTTTAAGTTTTTAACTAAAAATTAATTAATCATGCGCTAATGAGTTACCTCATTGTCATGAACAGAGAAGTCTCTAACTCCTCTTGAACACAGCCTTACGATAATTCATATATTCACAGTTAGCATTTTATGATGAATCTAGCAGGGGTTCACAATATTGAACCTACATCCAAATTGTAGGATGTCCTCCTGGCAAAAAAGAAAATTAATATTTTAATATCACAAAATTTATTAAAATTCAATTTCTTTTCACCCCTTTTTTTTGCGGGGAATTTCTTTTCACCCCTTGAAAGTTTTATATATTAATTTAGTGAATCCTCCCTCTAGAAAAAAATAGTGAGTCCTGCTTTGCAGAGGTGAGAGATCTATCGATCTTTCCATTATTTAAAAAATTAAGTATACAATGAACAGGGTTTGAATATCCTCATAGCTAGCCCTGCCTGATTAATGTCACGATTTCTTAACGACCATTTGCAGTAACATTGTGCACGTCTGACCGGCCGTCTAATTCAATAATGCAAAGTTCGGTGAGAAAACGGGCGTAGAACGAATGTGTACCATACAGGTGTGCATAACCTCAGTTATTAAATTAGATAATATACATAGTTAACATTCATAACGATATCATTCTTTCGGTTAGAACATGCAACTGCAAAGCCTGCCAAGAACGACGCTACAAAAGTCATTGCAGTCATGTGCATCGATATGTTGTTCTCCCATCGCGTTCAGCAATCAAGGTATCTGTATATATAGTTAACTATATATGAATTCTGTAAATAGAATAACTGGGATCTGATGTTAGCAAGACATCATCATGAGGTCGTTCGTTTTGCAGGACAAGAAAAAAGTGAGATTTCTGTTTGTATGGCCTTCACTTTGGTGTTGAGAAATTGATGCGGATTGATTTGTAATATACAGATCATACATCAATTCCATCCAGGGCACCGACCATTTCCAACCCGAATATTGTTGAAATGGCCAGATGGCTGCTCAAAATACTAGTATGGCCTCTTGCGATCTTGTCATCTTGGGTTATTTTCATTTGTTCACATAAGTTTTAGTTTTGTATTTCAAATAATACAAGCTTATTATTAAGTCGCGTGTTCGCACGACTTCAATCTTCCTCTTTATTTGAATGTGTTTCTATGTTGTTTAATTAGTTTAAATAAGTGTTTGTGTAACATACTTTCTAGCAATTGTAGCTATAATATAACAGATTTATCTTGATTTGCAATCAATAGTATTACTATAATAAAATAAATAATTTACCAAATAATTTTGAATGTGTTATTTGTAGTATTGTCAATAAGCTTATAATCTAGAATGCCCGCTCTTCTTTCAGATTAACGAAACAGCGAGTGTAGTGGCTAGGGTAAAGGTTTGTATTGATCTTCACAGCTATTTCATCCTCCCTATCTACGCGACCATAACTTCACTATTTGTTGTTGCTTGAACCACCGCCGGACCATCTTCGCTACTGCATGACCGCCATCCTCCACTTATATATTTCATTTATGCTTCGATTTTAGCAAATTTAATTTAATTTTACAGACTTAATAGATGTTTAGAGAACATAGTATTCGGTAAGAAATCTATGTATGGCACAAATAAATTTATTTTGAACTATGATAAATAAAAACTATCGTGATAATATATTATTTACTCTGACTATGTTAAACCTAGAAAATTTATCTTAAAAAAATTATAGAATTTTACTATATACAAATCGTGTTACTGACATTTTCATTACTATTGGTATGACTATGTTGTCCTACCAAATTACTTATATATTATGTGCATGATGTCATTGTAAAACATATTAACTACGCATATGTTATTGCATTGTTTTACCTATGCCATTGGAAAATTCGATTCGAAGAGTTAAGTTAAATATATATAAATTTTACAAAAGCATAATTTATAATAATATGTTGTACTAAAGCTGTTAGCTGTAAATTTATATCTCTAACACATGCTTCATTATTTGATAATGAAATAAATCAATCACATATGCATACATTTTGCACAAATACAAAATTTTGAGTACTTCCAGGGTTATTTTGTAAATTTGATTTTTCTGTAGGACTAAAATGCAAAGAAAGCAATAACATCTGTCCATCTCCTCCTTTTCATCCCCGTAGGCTATCTAGCTGACCAATGAAGGAGAGTCTGGAGGGGAAGGGGCTGTCATGCTGCTGTCGAACCGTCTGGAACCCCTCTCATCGGTTTGATTGGCTATGTTTCGATTTTACTCTCTTTTTTTTCCATCGGATGGTTAATATTCATTCCCCTACTGTTTGCTTCTGAATCCAATGGCCATAAATCAACATATGACGTGGCTCATCTTGGTGACGTCTTGTATTTCACTTTTCACTAATACAGATTAACTCGGAGCAGCTATGCTCTGTTTTATGCCTGTAGGGTTATAACATAGGAGATAGAAACGTACGTTGACAAAAAAAAATTGATTTTATATAGTTTAGATGATGATCTACCAAGCCATCGATCTTTTGTAAAGCCAACCGTATGCTGCTGCATCGTAGCTTTGATCGGAATAAATCATTACAGAATTTGCCCTTTTTGCTGCCTTGTTACAACACAAATTTTTATTTATCCTCCGGTATTTAAAGTTTGACACCGTTAACTTTTAGACAATCATGTGACCATTGACCTTATTAAAAAAGTATGTAATTTTTGTTTATTTTTCTTATTTGTTTTACTATTAAACATACTTAAAACATTTCATTTACTTTTACATATTTGCATAAAAGTTTTACTAGTAAGCAAAACGGAACATATGTTCATTAAAAACCAGAGACCCGAGGGAGCATTAGGTATGAAAAAAATTAGAGTAGCGAAAAATATAATATTGAATGTATATTCATTTGATATTTTTGTGACGGTAAATCTTTAATTTTTTTTCTTTTAGCCTCATTTACAACTTCAAAGAAAACCGATCTTTCTTGTAGTTTCTTAATTTCCACTCTTCGCAAAAAGTCTATGCATGTGTGATTGGTACATATTGTTAGAGAGGGCTTCATACATTCATTTGAAGAACAAGTCTATTTTACCCCCACCAACTATTTCACTGGAGCACTTAAACAGCTAAACTTTGTTTTGGCTTATTTTACACCCTAACTACTAAAAACGGTTCACTTTACTTCCAAACGCTGTTTTACCAAAAATTCATTGAGATTTAAAAATCAAGCAAATTAATAGTCAGAACAATAGATAATGGTGTCATCTATATCTTAAAAAACCAGCTTAAAATACATGTTGTATAAAAAGTGATAGGAAAGAGAAACGTTAATAGGTTAGTGGGTAAAATGATCTGAAAATTAGTTTAGGGTTAAATGATATAATGAATTAGTTGGGGGGGGGGAGGACTTTTTCTACTGAAAATTGTCCATTTTGATGAATGTTCCATCTAAACATATGTCTACTGAAAATTGCCCATTTTGCCTCGTCTCGCTCGTCGTCGGCTTGTCGCACCGCGCTGGGTCGTCGGTCATCACCGTGCCTCGTATGTATATGCTCGCGCTATCTTCATCGCTGGTCTACCGCCACAGTCGTCATCGACCTGCCATCGCTGCTGCCAACCGTCACCATCCCCAAAGTGGCTCAGCCGTCCTTTCTACTCACGCATCCCCGCTCACCCGTTAGGTCCCCTGCGGGGGCACAGGTGTTAACGACCAAAATTGGTAAATCATTAATTGGATTCAAAGTTAAAATTGAAGCATCGGTTATTATCTGCATCAGCTGATACTGAATCGGATAGGGAGAAGCCGATGTAGCCGATCCCAGGAAGATGGTTCTAGAGTCATTGATGGGATCGATCGAGGCGCTATGCAAGCATTGCCACATATGGATTGAGTCCAAAGAAGGCAATTGTATCTATTGATTAGGATGTTTCTAGTTAATTTCCTTAGAGATATTTTCGGTAAGAGTCCGCCTAAGGGACTTGTTCGTATTTTAGTTTTAATACAGATAGAGTCGTGTCCGGCAAGGACATATTATATATTTCGGGTATAAATATGACCCAATACATGGTAAACAAACAACATCAGTTCAATAATACTTTCGGCGCATCGCCACCCTTTTTCCACTTTCATTGTTTTTCGACAAGTTCTTGTATTATCGGTCTACCTCCTCCTCTCCCACCCCTTCCCCCTCCCCTCCTGCTGCGAGGTCTCCGAGCTCAGTGTCTACGCCCATCCTCCCCCTTCTATTCCGGCAACCACTCCCCCTCCCCTCGCATGAGACAAGAACGGCAGCGGCTCGATGCAGGGCAGACGGTGGTGCGGCATAGGGCTGACGGTGGCAC